AATGATTCTATTTTTTGCACTTAATTTTTTAGTGCATTGTTTTAAATTGCACAGTTTTAGCTATTATCACCTCATTATTATTATTTCTATTGTTACTCCTCTTGCTACTAATGTCAACATATTACTGTTTTACGTTATTGTTATTATTACTAGTATTATTACTACTATTATTATTGCTATTGTCTGCTGTTTTCTATAATTATTATTATTACTATTATTATTGCTATTATTATAACCCAGTTTATTGCTATCATTAGCGTTCTATCCTTATATCTTTATTTCAGATTCCACGACCTCTACCACCAGCACAATCACACATCTTCACCGTCAGTGCTCTCGCCGCCATATTCTCGTTGCATGCCATCACCGATACGCAAGTTGAACAATATCCGCTCGGTATACCTGCACACGCACTTCGACACTCTGGGTGCTTCTGAATGGCGTGAAGACGGGAAGCTGACTGAGTTACTGGTCAGCAGAACACGTAGCAACGGCGTGTGTTTGAAATCTGTTAAAACAATTGGTACTAGCCTGAACGGTATTATCACCGTCGCTAATTTCGCCTACAAAAAGGAAGCAAGTTTTCAGATTCAGATCAGCCATGATTTATATACTTAGCTGCATGATCTGCTTCGGATAGAACCACGGACTTGCTCTAAATTTAATCAAAATTTCGTGTGTTAATTAGGTGGGCGAATTCTTTTTCTTCTAAAAGAGTGGAAGAAAGCAACTGCCTTCATTTCGCTTGAAGAGTGAAATATGCCAAATTTAGCCGTATGTGAGGGCTGAGTTTAGAATTTTAGAAATTGCACATTATAGATGAAACATTCTTCTAAAATTTCAAATTTCTGTCTCGTCTGGTTTAAATCGCCGATAAAATTTGGAAACAGATGGGCGCAAAATCAAGAAAGCTTGAGATGCGAAAGTTAACTGGCGAGAAGCAAGTTTGACTAGATACTGTAAAGTTAGCTTGTGGATTCCAGGTTTGGGTTCGTTATACGATGGATCATTGGAGGAGCTATGTGGACCTACCGGCACTGTACGTAAGCTGCTCAACGCTAAATGACATTGATATGTTTTCGTTTTCGCTTTTCCTGCCACAGAGTATTCCGGTGGGAGCTAAATGCGAATTCTGCATCAGGTACCAATTTGCACTTTTTGCTCAAGTCGGGTTTTTTTCCGAGAAGGTAAGAGGGCAGTTTAAGAGGTTTGAGAGGGGGTAAAAATCTCTTTGGGCGTGAGGTTTTTACGCATTTTTAAACAGTTTCAGAAAAAAGAGGCTTACTGAAGCATATATTTTATCCTTTTATAACTATCTCCTGTCGTAGAAAAATCCTCGGTTTTATTCTTTAATTTCCAGATACCTATGTGATGGTAAGGAATATTGGGATAATAACGCATCCGCGAACTATATGGTGGAATGCAAAACGCTGGACGATGATGATGATGATGTTAATTTATTATAGCGCTTTGTGGCTGGAAAGCAAAATGCTGAAACACTGGAGTGTTGGATAAATAATCTGGTACCGATTTCTAAAATCCTCGCACCACTGTCCGTCTTACTGTAACTACTAACATTACAGTTGTGCTCGGCATATTATGCCTTTGAGTGTTTCAGGGCTTGTCAAGTGCTGCATGTTGTTACTGTATTATTTTGCAATCGTTCTCTAATCGGAATCTAAACCAGGC